CCCAGCTACTTGGGAAGCTGAGGCAGGAGAATCACTTGAACCCAAGAGGTGGAGGTTGCAGTGAGCTGAAATCACACCATTGCATTCCAGCCTGGGCAACAGAGTGAGATTCCATCTCAAAAAAAAAAAAAAAAAATTCACACCTTATGTGAAATATACAAGTACTTAAAAGATAATTACGAAAGCTCACTCAGAAAAATCAGACAAACTGTAACACTATATATATATTTTTTAAAAAATCAATTTGTAGTTAAACCTTCCCACACAGAAAACTTCAGGCCCAGATGACACTCTTGGTAAATTTTATCAAACATTTGAGGAGGAGATAACACCAATTTTACACAAACTGTTACTGAAAATTTAAGAGGAGGGAATGCTTTCTAACTTACTCCATGAAGTCAATGTTACTCTCATTACAAAACCAAGATGCTTTTTGTTTTTGGGATGGAGTTATACTTTTGTCACACAGGCTGGAGTGCAGTGGTGCCATCTTGGCTCACTGCAACCTCCGCCTCCCAGGTTCAAGAGATTCTCCTGCCTCACCCTCCCAAGTAGCTGGGATTACAGTCATGTACCACCATGCCCAGCTAATTTTGTATTTTTAGTAGAGATGAGGTTTCTCCATGTTGATCAGGCTGGTCTTGAACTCCTGACCTCAAGGTGAACCACCCGCCTCAACCTCCCAAAGTGCTGGGATTACAGGCATCAGCCACTGCCCCCAAGATAATATTTTTAAAAATACGAAAAGACAAATATCCCTCACAACTAGGTACACAAACGTTCTAAATAAAATGTTAGCAAATTTAATTTAACAATGTATGGGATCACTATAAAATTGGCAGAGGGCTCATGTGTAGAATGCAAGATTGGTTTAATAGTTTAAAAATTAATGAATGCTATTTACCTTATTAGCAAACCAAAAAGGAAAATCATTTAATCATATCCATAGAAGCAGAAAAATGTTTTGAAAAATTCAAGATCCACTCTGGATAAAACATTCAGTAAGCTAGGAATAGAAGATAACTTTCTCTACCTGATAAAAAAAAAAAAAAAACACCCTCCAAAAATTAAAACCCAAAGCTTACAACTAATACCAAACTTAGTGGTGAAAACATGAATGCTTTCTCCCATAAGTTCAAATACAGACAAGAATGTTCACTCTTACCACTTCTATTTGATACAGTACTGGAATGAATTTCTATCCAATGGGAAAGAGAAAGAAGGGAAGGTAAGGAAAGTGAGAAGGAGGGAGGGAGGAGAAGAAAGGAAATTCAGATTGGAATAGAAAAAAGAGAAAGGAAAACTATAATTTTGGTAAGATGATATAATCATGTACATAAATGAAAAATGTGATGAACTATTAAAAATAGTTACTAGAACTGTGAATTTAGCAAGGCTTGAAGAAATCAAAGTCAATATACAAAAATTGATTGTATTTCTATGTATTAGCAATGGACAGAAACTAATTTTAAAAGCAATATCAATTATAACAGCAATAAAAATATTAAATACAGATATATTTGATAAAATATGTATAAGAAAGGGCTGGGTGCAGTGTCTCATGTCTGTAATTCCTGCACTTTGGGAGGCCAAGGCAGGTGGATCACTTGAGGTCAGGAGTTCGACCTCAAGTTGAGGCCAGGCTGACCAGCATGGCAAAACCCCATCTCTACTAAAAATTACAAAAATTAGCCAGTGTGGCGGCAGGTGCCTGTAATCCCAGCTGCGTGGGAGGCTGAGGCAGGAAGAATTGCTTGAACCTTGGAGGCACAGGTTGCTGTGAGCAAAGATCATTCCACTGTACTCCAGCCTGGGCAATAGAGCAAGACAGTCTCAAAAAGAAAATGTTTAAAGACTTGTTCTCTAAGGACTTCAAGACAGTACTGAGAGAAATTAAAGAAGAACTAAATGAATGGAGATATACACTGTGTCCATGAATCAGTGGACTCAATATTACAAAGGTATTAATTTATCCTAAATTATATGTAGATTCAATACAGTCCCCATCAAAGTTCCAGTAAGCATGTTTAGAATTTGGGAAGCTGATTCTATAGTTCATATGGAAATGCAAAGAACCTAGAAGATCCCGAACACTTTTGAAAAAGAGGAACGAAGACTTGTAAAACGTAATTTAAAAACTTACTATAAAGCTACTGTAATTGAAAATAGATTAATGAAACAGGAGAGAGATATTCTGGATATTTTCGTGAAGGTGTTTTTTTGATAAGCTTAACATTTAAATTGGTGGACTTTGAGTAAAGCAGGTTACTCTGCATAATGAAGGTGAGCCTCGCCCAATCCACTGAAAGTTTTAACAGAAGAAAAAGTGACCTCCCCTGAACAAGAAGGAATTCTGCCAGCAGACTGCCTTTGGGCCAGAATGATGAAAAAGCCAAAAATAGAAGGTTGTGAGATCTGAACTACAGACTCACCTTACCATTATGCTGAAAGCAGAACTCCATTTCTTCACAGTGCAGAGCTTCATGCCACATGCATAGTCTAGATGCATAATTGCAATGTTTTGGTTTGCTTTGGCTTTGCTATGGAATAGCCTGCTACATTTGATTGTGAAACTGTCTTTAAAATTATGTTCCAAAATTAATATTTTTTGATATTTACTTTCTTTTATGAAGACATATCAAAGTAATCGCCTAGGATGGTGCTCGTGAGCCCTTTGCAATTGGGCTCTGGCATCAGGTGGACCTGGGTTCTGAATTATAACTCAACCACTTGCTAGGTTGATTGATTTCAACTCTCTCAGCCTCAGATTCCTCATCAATAAAATGGGTATAATAAAAACTATGTTGCATAGCTGTTGTTAAGACTGGAAAAACACACACAAATATTCTAGGTTCAATGGCTGGCATATAGTGAATATTCCATAAATGATTATAGTGTTTAATTTTGGTTGGAGAATCTATCAATATATGCTTTTACTGGAGTCTCATCTCATTATTTTCCATCAATGGAAAAGAATTGGCCATCCTTAAGCCAAGACCATGCTGTCTTGATTTTGTGAAAAGTTTTGAAATTAGAAAATGTGAGTTTTCTGATGTTCTCCTTCTTTTTCAAGATTGTTTTGGCTACTTGGGGGATGAATTTTAAAATGAGCTTGTCAATTTCTACTTCGATGTTTTCCAAGGACAACCAAAAACAAATGAACATCTAGCTCTGTCAGCTGCCAATCTTCAGTGAGACAACCATACTATCAAAGTTAAATATACTCAGATTTTTGTTCTAACTTACTCTACTGGAGAATGAAGACAAGAATTCTGAATGATGAACTTACAGAAGATTGCCTAATAATGTAGCAGTGCATTTTGCTCAAAATTTTCCCTTTTATTTATAGTGTGAACAGTCACTCAGCATTTTTCTGACTCTAGGAAATGACGGACTATAGCAAATTTTCCTTGGTTCATTATTAGGTATAGATTAGAAACCAGATTGGATGACTCTCATATTAACACCTGCCTGGAGCAAAAGAGCAACAGAGTTTTTATTAATCAAGGTTTTTTTCAGATACAAACATTTATACAGTATATTATGTAATACAAAAATTATATAATTTAAAAAATTTTTACTTATGTCCTTAGCATTTTCCCAGAATTTTCTATTGTGTGAAATTACCCTAAATAAGTATCAGAGGACTTCAGAAGAATGTATAAAGAGGTAAGGTTAGTATAGATTTTTATAGTTACTCCTTGTTAATGACTTTCACGGTTGAGTCAACTGAATATGGCTCACCCTCATCTGCTGTATCAGAGATGCTTCACTGATCTAAGTATTGACATATCTTATATTCTGTTCTTGATATATTCAGTGAAAAGTGAGTAGTAAAACAATGACAGAGAAATGCATTGACAGTATACCAGAATTTGTGGTTCATTTCAACTTTTTAAAGCAAGTTATTTAAATGTTCTCGTTTGACCTTAATTACTGATAATTTCATTTTGTTTACTGTCTGACTTCTTGCAGACAACTTCTCACTTTGATTACTTCATGGCATTATTCATTTACGATGCATTACACTTGGGCTCTCTGTATTTCTCTGTAAATGTAGGTCCTTGCTGCTATGGCAATATTTTGTCCCCCCAAAAACCATTTGAGTTTCCATTACCATTCAGATTACTCTTCTTAATTAAAGTGGGTAAGTTTATAAATTGGAGCTGAAAGCATTTGGCTTCTCCTTGAAATGCTTGTTTTTCCATTCATTATTTGAGGCATTCTCTCTCACATTCACACCACTATTAACTGGAGGGCAAAAATCTTTTGCGTTAGGCAGCCCATATTTAGACCAATTAATCCTATGAAATATCAAAGATCATTCACTATTTCCCTAATGTTCGTTGAACAATAAAAATGATGAGTAATAGACATTAGGACAAAATATAAAAAGGAGGGCTATCGGTTATAAAGATTATATTTCCAAATGAGCCTCTGATTTTCACAGCAGTATACAATGTTAGAATGTTCATATTGTTGAAGTTTAATTTTAAGGAGTGAGATGAATAATTTCATGCTCTTAATAATACAATAATTGCATTGAATACTGTATAAAAATTTGAATTAAATGTGATAGAATTTTAGTAAGAAGCTCCTTAGAGATCATCTCATTTATGGTAACAGGGCTTAGATCCTTTGCTTCCTTCATACCCATGACTGATGTCACTAATCAATAGCTGCATTTCAGTGGGAACTTGGCATAGTTTCTGAACAAAGAACTCCAGGGATTCTCTACAAGTAGCTCAGTTGTCACTTGAGATTACCCCACTTTGCCAAAATTTATCTTAATCCATTTTTAAAAATTTTATCGATGGAGAAACTGAAGAATAAATAATAGATTGGTGTAATGTTGTAGAAAGTTACTCCCATTGCTAAAATGAAAACTTGAGTCTCCTTTCTAGCAGTATTCTATTCTTCGTACTTTATCAAGCTGAATTGCACGCCAATCTTTGCTATTGTAGTGCCAATTCCAGTGATACACAAACACACACACACACACACACACACACTCTTACAAAGTCAGACATGGGACATGGATATAGTTATGTACCATTGTACACCTACTAGGAAGGAGATGAATAACAACTGAAAATCTAAAAGCTTGTGAAAGGTTCCTAATTTTTAGGAGGGAAAAAAAAGAAGTCTACAATATTCACATTTAAGCTGTTAGATGAGTGTATTTCCTGGAAAAGCTACCAAATTAAAAAATGTATACCACACACGAATGTTCATCACAGCACTGTTTACAATAGCAAAGACCTGGAACCAACCCAAATGCCCATCAATGATAGACTGGACAGAGAAAATGTGGCACATATACACCATGGAATACGATGCAGCCATAACAAAACAATGAGTTTGTGTCCTTTGTAGGGACATGGATGAACCTGGAAACTATCATTCTCAGCAAACTGACACAAGAACAGAAAATCAAACACTGCATGTTCTCACTCATAGGTGAGTGTTGAACAATGAGAACACATGGACGCAGGGAGGGGAGCATCACACACGGGGGTCTGTTGGGGGGGAAATAGGAGAGAGACAGCGGGGGGCAGGGAGTTGGGGAGAGATAGCATGGGGAGAAATGCCAGATATAGGTGATGGGGAGAAAGGCAGCAAATCACACTGCCATGTATGTACCTATGCAACAATCTTGCATGTTCTTCACATGTACCCCAAAACCTAAAATGCAATAAAAATTGCATACCTAATGTTTCTTGTATTTCAAGTTATACTGTACACAAAACAATTGCTAAATATCAGCGGTATTATAAATATTTCACTGCAATTATATATTTCTGGACTTCATGCTGTAAAAACTTTTTTCTTAGGAAATTGGCAGGTTTCTACCAATGTTATCATACATAGTGAATACATGTTTTTAAATTTATCATTTTTTATTCTGATATAATTAACATACCATAAAATCTCTACTTTAAATTGTACAATTCAGTGTTTTTTACTATGTTCATAAAGCTTTGATACTGTCACAACTATTCACATTTGAAAACATTCTTAGGACCCTTGAAAAAAAAACCGGTACACATTAGCACCTGTTCCCAAATTACCTCTTTCCCCTTTTGCCAGCCTCCGGTAACCCTATTCCACTTTCAGTCTCTGAATATTTACCTAGCCTGTAGATTTCATATGAATGGAATAATACCATATGGGATTCTGTACTTGGCATCTTTCATTTAGCACAGTGTTTAGACTTATCTCCTGAAATCCTCTTTTCTAGTTTTATTTTTTGCTCAGTATTTTTTCGTTGACAGTATTACCTTTTATCATATAAAATGTACTATTTTTAAAATCAGAATACCATATGTTTTTAATTAACTCGCTCTTTTATTTGCTATAATCTCAAATCACACGTTACGGTTTTATCCATATAGTGCATGATATTGGGAAAAAAGTTGAATATTAAATGGAAAATAGAAAAATAAACAGAAGTAGAAAAAATAGAAAATGTTATCAAGACCTTCTCAAATCTGTATTTGTTCTCTGTATTAAAGGAAATATATATGGAATACTATATTTATTATTACAGAAAAGTTTTTATTTGAACTAGTTGGGTTGGATTAGTTTATCAAGTCACTTCTTACAAAAATACAATCTCAATTTTTATAATATTTATATCCTTTTTTTCGTAGGATTATAGACATTAAATGAAATGTATATTTGTAGGGCTGCTTACCAGTGTTAGCAGCAAATTTGAACTTTGAGTGAAAAATATAGGGTTAAAGCAGCTTAATGTCACTAACAATTTTTGTAGGGGTACATTTAGTATGTATTTAAAGAAGTATTTAAAGTTAGCAATGCTAATAATCCCTCATCTTTTTATAAAATTAAACATAAATTGTATGCTGAAATTTCTATCTAAATATGAAAATATAATTCCATTTAAAAATAAAAATAGAATCAACCTAAATTGTACTGCTCTCTCTTCTCTGTTTGAAAATGTTCAGTGAAGTTAGTGCATGATTCTACACATTCAACCTAAAATTGAGTAAATATATTAAATCTCTAAATGCAAGTAAAACATGAAATAGCATCAGCTTATACAACAAAAACGTTATTACAACAGTGTTTTGTGGTCCTGGATTTTGGCTTATTGATTTGGCTTCCTGCTTACTCTGATATATACATCTGTTGATATCAAGATTTATTGCTCATTTTTTAATTAAATTGCTGAAGCATGTTGGAGAAGTCATGATTTTGAGAATAATAATCATGTTTTATTCTCTTATTTGGCTAATTTTAGGATAGTTTAAAAATTTTTTTGGAGATAAAATCCTAATTGAAACTCATTGGTTGTAAAGAGATTTATATCTTTTTATATTAATCCCAGAAATATATTTCACATAATCAACATGTTTTATAGTTTTTCTTTGTTACAGCTATGTAGGGTTTTAACTAGGTTATTACTCATAAATTACAATAACTTGAAGCTGTAATAGATTAAGTCAGGGGTCCCCAACCCCTGAGCCATAGACCAGTACAGTCCATAGCCTATTAGGAATCAGGCCACACAGCAGATGTTAAGTGATCATCTAGCATTAAGGCCTGAGCTCCGCCTCCTAGATTCTCATAGGAGCAGGAACTAACTGTACTGTGAACTGTGCACGTGAGGGATCTAGGTTGTGCACTCCTTATGAAAATCTAATGCCTGATAATCTGAGGTGGAACAGTTTCATCCTGAAACCATCCTCCTGTATCTCCCCTACATCAGTGGGAAACCTTCTTTCATGAATACAGTCCCATGGTGCCCAAAAGCACTGGATTACGGGGACCACTGGATTAAGTTATTATATAGTTGTAGGAAGGTCTGTATTTACCATCAAAGGCAACTGGATGCCTGTTCTGTGTTAAAATATTTTTATGCATGAAAATTCTCTAGTCATTGAATGGTCTATTCATAAGAAATAAGTCTTGGCATATTGTCATAGCTACTATCACTCTCAATATACCTAGATGGAGAAATTGGAGAGACCTATAGATAAAAGAATTAGCAATGTCTGTGCTCACTGTTCACTCTTAAAAACTGCCACTTCACTGATGTTGTCCTTGGAGCCCCCCAATGTATACCTAATAAGATTCAGAATCTGGGGTTCTATCCTTCCAATTCCCCCTCATCCTGCTATCTTTTCTTATCCTAACTCTTCTGTAGTCACATAAATTCATCTTTATCACCCAAATTCTGCAAAGCATTATGAAACACCAAGGAAGAGGAAAAAAGAGTGAGGCATGGTCTCTGTCAATAGGGATTCCTGATTTTGTAAGAATTTAGATATGTTTAAATAGCTTTACCATCATGAAGACAGATGAACGCTACCGTACAACTGGATTTTCCTTCCAGCTGTGCTACTTAACAACATTGTAATCTTGAGTAAGATATCCAAACTTTGAAAGCCTTCATCTCTTCGTTTGTAAATGAGATAATTTATTACACAAACAACTCAGTCCAGGACTCAATACAGTTCTACAAATTGTTGGCCATGGTTAGCTACTGTTATTCAAATGGTATTTATCTACATTTCTATGAAGTCAGAAAAGTCCTATAACATGGCTTGAAACATTCCTGCCTCTGTATTGTATTAAAACTCTGCATTAAATGATAACGAAAATTTGTACTGCATGTACCTGGAAATACAGAAACACATAAATGATAGAGGAGATTCACGGGTTTAACTCCCCCGTAGTTTTCCTCATGCATTCATGTTTCTCTCTACCTATGCAATTCCATCCTGCAGCTTCTTATTGCGTTTACCCACAAGAAATTTCCTACAAACACCATAAAGTGTCCAACAAACATACAGCAAGGTTGTTCTGTGTTCTAGTTCTAGGGAATGCAGAAATGAATAAAATGAAATTCCTGTCCTTATAGTTTTATTGGGAGAAAATGAAAAAGTAAACCAGACTTAACAATGAAATGATAAAACCAGCAGCCAAAGCTGAGCCTGAAACAAAGGCTGTGCATAGTTATTTTATTTGGGAATTGTTACAAGAAAAACGTGAGACTATACCACACCCTCTCCAAACTGGGAAAGTGCCAAAGAACCAAAGATTGATTGAATCCAGCTTGATGAGTAGAGGAGTTTATTAGGACTTAAATACAGGGCATTCCTGGATGGTAGAAGGACAGTGCTAGAGATCCATGCCACCTCCCATTTCTAAGCTGCTTTCAAGATAATTTTCTGGCTCTTTGCGTACTACATGTGCATAATGAGACTGTTTTCTTTGGTATGTTTCCAGATATCCCCTGGGATGCTTGGGTTCTTGGGGACACTTGCTCCTTGGCTGGGAATCATGGCTTTGGCTTACCACTGGCCTTCAGGATTCATGCAGTGGCAGTATACCCTTAAGTAACCTGGTGGGGGACCAGTCACACTACAAGAGTGATTATAGGGAAGGAGTGAGGGGCAGCAGAAATGAAACAGAGAAAAGGGAAATCCTTTACCAGGACGTGATGTTCAGTTGGTCTCAATTATTGGAGACTGGCATATCATCCCATCCAGGGTGTCCAATCTTTTGGCTTCCCTGCGCCACATTGAAAGAAGAATCCTCTTGAGCCACACATAATACACTAACACAAATGATAGCTAATAAGCCAAAAAAAAAAAAAAAAGATCCGTGCATAAATCCCGTAATTTTTTTTTTGAGATGAAGTCTCGCTCTGTTGCCAGGCTGGAGTACAGTGGCGCGATCTCTGCTCACTGTAGCCTCTGCCTCCTGGGGTCAAGCAATTCTACTACTTAAGCCTCCCAAGGAGCTGGGACTACAGGCATATGCTGGCACACCTGGCTAATTTTGTATTTTTAGTAGAGATGGGGTTTCACCATGCTGGCCATGATGTTCTTGATCTCCTGATCTCCTGATCCGCCCACCTAGGCCTCCCAAAGTGCTGGGATTACAGGCATGAGCCACCGTGCCTGGCCCCACATCTCGTAATGTTTTAAGAAAGTTTATGAATTTGTGTTGGGCTGCATTCAAAACAGTCCTGGACCACATGCAGCCCACAGGCCACTGTTAAACAAGCTTGCATCAGACCTTCTCAGGTAATTTATGAAATATGTCTCAGAACTGACACCTCCACTTGACCATTGACTACTCTTTCTTATTGGTCCTTTTCCCCGTTGGTCAATGGTAGAACCAAGGCCTTAACTCCTCTGCTCTTTAAGGTTGTACATGCTTGAGTGACTAGCTATTAGGTCGGTGCAAAAGTAATTGCAGTTTTTGCAATTAAAGTATGGCAAAAAACACAATTACTTTTGCATCAAACTGAATAGCTGATCTTCTAGGTAACTCAAGCCACTGGGGTTAGAAATGAGAAGTATGTTACAATAGTCCAACCTCCCTTGCCTCTGATTCTTTCCTCAGTACTATAGCAAGGCATTTCTGAAATCTTCACCTCATTTACAGTAGACTATTGTGTCCAGGCTTCAAGGAATCATGTCAAGCGTTTTTATACTAGGTCCAGGTAGCTGTACCAAGCTGTTCCACCACAAGTCATGGGTAAGTTCTAGTAAGACAATAAATACTATTCAGCCTTTTTTTTTCTTTGAGACAGTCTTGTTCTATCACCCAGGCTGGAGTGCAGGGGTGCTCTCTCTGCTTACTGCAATCTCTGCCTGCCAGGTTCAAGCAATTTTTGTGCCTCAGCCTCCTGAGTAGCAGGGATTTCAGGCCTGTGCCAGCACACCCGGCCAATTTTTGTACTTTTTGTATGGACAGGGTTTTGTCATGTTGGCCAGGCTGGTCTCAAACTCCTGAGATCAGGTGATCCACCTGCCTCAGCCTCCCAAGGTGCTGGGATTACAGGCATGAGCCACCGTGCCTGGCCTATTCAACCTTTTTTTTTCAGTCACCTTGAGACAGTAGTCATGGTCAACTCACACACGTGTTCCACTGGCCAGATTGAGAATACTTTTGGTGGGTAAGCTATTCCTCCTAAAATAGGGGCTATTTCCCTACTCCATCTATACAGAAATCCAATCCAGGATACAGAATTGGAAGCAGTGAGGAAGAAAAGCATCATCTTCTGAAGCTCTGGCTTCACTCAGGGCTTTTGTGATATCTCTAGACAAAAGGAAGCTCCTTTTCTCTAGTGAGGAATTTACCTCTGACAGTCTTAAGAATTCTGATGATATAAATTCTCAAGCTTGTGAGATGAGAAATGACACACAGAGATACCTGAGAGTACGGTAATGAAGGCATATACTCAGATTACCATTTCCCAATATACGATATACATTTTGCAGTATCCTTTGTGTTTTTACATACTCCTTATGTGATTTTCATAAGAGTTTGATTTGTCTTCCAAAAATATGTAACCTCTTTGAGGACCAACACTATTCTGCTTATTTGAAATTCTAAGATCACCCATCGATGTACTGCATTTTCTAATAGCAGCATGTTAGATAATTTTTGATTAAATAATAAATGCTTTGCCAACTTTCCAAATATTTGACTTCCCAAGTAATTGGCCTAAGAATCCTTTTTAAAAAATTATATATAGTTCTTAGAAGAGGAAATGAGATAAATTAGAAAGTAAAAATAGAAATCAGAATTTGTTTGGTTTGCATTTGATTTAGATGATTTTTTTTATTCTAAACCAGCCCACAATCCTAATCCTTTAGTAGAATCCCTTTTTTTCTCTGCATATGTTAACTGCTGTGATCATACTGCATACTTTGTTTTGAATTCTTAAATGTAGAAGTATTAAATAGGAGTTAATTTGCAGTTTTTACAAGTAGTAAGCCTATTCATATAAAATCTTTCAATAAATCTACAACCAACAAACCATAGTGGCAGTGAATAATTTGGTATATCTAATTGACTTAATTCTCACTTACCATGTGTAATGGAAAGGAGCTGTGATATAAATAATTCCTAAATTCATTTACCTTTGAGTTTGGAATAGTGTGAACTTGTAACAATAATAATGTCCTACATTTTTATAGACTCAGAGGCTTTGCTTAGACTAATATGAAAATCTATATTTTTTTAAATAATAGACCACGTAGAAGTGATACCTGATATTAATATTTGGAGGAAGTTTGAGATTTAAAGTCTTTAAAGAGGGTAATTTGTGCTTGAATAATTGTCACCATGTGTGACTTCCTTGTTCCTTTTATATTTTGCAGATAGCTAAAGATAAAAATAGACACAATGGAGAATATATTTTTAGATACCTAAACCTAATGCTATGGTAAAATTTGTTTCACTGTCATTCTGTCATGAGTGCATAGTGAAGTTTTGCAGACATTCTACACTATGTGATATTACAACAGATTAAATATAGAAAGAGAATCCAGAATATGGTTGTCTTTTGTTAAGCCAGACATTGGCAAAAATGTAAAATAATGTCACTCTCCTGTAACAGTGAAATGGTAAAAGACTAACACAATTAACATTACACTAAAAAGGGGCCTCTGGCCTGTGTTCTTGCTTGCCTACAGGTTAGAATAACTTCAGAACATTGAAAGACAGCATAGGAACAAAAATCTGCAACTGTTGAGACTAACTCTCAAGATAAAAGGGGAAGTATGTATACTAGATTTTGTTAAAGATGTAAAGGAACAGGCTGGGTGCAGTGGCTCACACCTGTAATCCCAGCACTTTGGGAGGTTAAGGTGGGTGGATCACAAGGTCAGGAGTTTGAGACCAGCCTGACCAACGTGGTGAAACCCCATCTGTACTAAAAATACAAAAATTTGCCAGGCGTGGTGGCATACTCCTGCAATGTCAGCTACTCAGGAGGCTGAGGCAGGAGAATCGCTTGAACTCAAGAGGTGGAGGTTGCAGTGAGCTAAGATTGCACCACTGCACTCTAGCCTGGGTGGCAGAGCAAGACTCCATCTCAAGGGATAGCATTAGGATAAATACATAATGCAGATGACGGGGTGATGGATGCAGCAAACTACCGTGGCACAGGTATACCTACGTAACAAACCTGCACATACTGCACATGTATCCCCAAAATTAAAGTATTAAAAAAATAGAAAAAAGCGTAATACCATAAAAAAAAATAAGAAGGAGACTATTAACCAGAAACAGATTTCACAACTTTTCTAGACTACTTTCTGGTGCTCAGATATATCTGCCTTCTTTGGCCACTTCTTGATCTCTGCCCCCTTCTTTTCCTCTATACCTAAGTAAAAACTGTACAAAGCATACAAACACTAAGATAGTAAGTTAGGATGCTAGCGCCATCTTGGTTTGCTGGCTCTCTGAGATACAGATGCTTTCCTTGCTCCAACTCCTTGTTTCTTGACTTTATTGGCTGTGGTATGGTAAGCAGAAGAAGTTTGGACTCTGTTATATTCTCACTAGTTTGTTTTAACAAAAATGTAATTTATGTTAACAAGCAATAGGCTTACTATTATTTTTAAATAAGTTGCTTAAGTGTTCTCAGTTTTAATGTATAATATGGCAAATATTGATGGGCATATCTCACATAAACCAAAGCTCTCTGAGTCCTCAATAATTTTTAAGAGTGTAAAGTGGTTTTGAGAACAAAAAAGTTTGAGAACTCCTGTAATAGATCACTAATTTTCCTGTGACAGGACTAGGCAAATAATTCAGAAAGAAAGCTCATGGTGGTTAGAGGATTCTGTGGAGACCTGTTAGAGAAACAGATACTTATGCTGGGTCTTCTGTGATAAGGGGGATGTAACAATGTAGAATGGAAATGACCTCTAAGTCAGGAAGCCAGCAAGAGCAAAGACACAGGTGCAAAACTGTGTGTGCTAGGGTCAACAGCTTGGATCAGTTTAGCTGTAACGGGGGTGGGGTGGGGGAGTAGTCACAGACTACATAACAAAAGAAACAAGAGACAGATTGGGGAGACAAAAACTGGAAATCAGGACTAAGGTTTAAATGTAATTATTTTGGCTGTAGGGAAACAGTGAAGGTTTTCAAGCAGGTGGTAGGGTGATATAAATGTAATTCCACTTGTGGAAAATTCATCTTGATAATGATTACGTTCTATACAGAGGGAAACTACTAAAGAGTTTCTCATAGGAGTGTGATACAGTTTGGCTGTGTCCCCACCCAAATCTCATCTTAAATTGTAGCTCCCATAATTCCCACATGTTGTAGGAGGGGTCTAGTGGGAGATAATTGAATCATGGGGGGCAGTTTCCCCCGTACTTTTCTGGTAGTGATCAGGTGATCTAATCATTTTATAACGGGTTTCCCCTTTTGCTTGCCTCTCATTCTCTCTTGTCTGCCACCATGTAAGATGTGCCTTTCACCTTGCACCATGATTGTGAAGCCTCCCCAGTCATGCTCTGTGAGTCCATTTCTCAACTCTTTTTCTTTATAAATTACCCAGTCTCGGGTATGTCTTTAACAGCAGCATGAGAACAGACTAATACAAAGTGCATATATAAAATGATAAGGACCACTACTAAAGTTTCTGGGTTTGAAGCCTAAATGATGAGGGAGACTAGAGGGGTGGCATTCAGAAAAGCAGCCCTCTGCAAGGATTAGAAGAAAAGATAAAGTATCCATAATGATTAGAAATCACCATTTGATGTTGAAGATGTTTCTAGATTATAAATACTAAAGGATATTTTATTAAAGTATTAAGTGTGTTTTTGTCATATTCAAATTTTTTGTGTAAATTCATAGCAAAAGGCATGAAAAATTGAAAAGTTAAAATAATTGATTAATCAGAATTCTTCATTTTCAACCACACCAGGTAACAAAAAGTTTACTATAATTTGCAAAACGGCATGTACTACTGAGCTGTCCCACTTAAAGAAAATAATAGTTCTTGTTGATTTAAATTGTTACTTCATACATTATGAATTATTTTCTATGTGCAGCTTGAATACTTCTTTACTTTCAGTTATTTTGTGTGTGTGTGTGTGTGTGTGTGTGTGTGAGACAGAGTCTCACCCTGTGGCTGAGGCTGGAGTATAGTGGAGCAATCTTGGCTCACTACAACCTCTGCCTCTCAGGTTTAAATGATTCTGCTTCCTCCACCTCCCAAGCAGCTGGGATTACAGATGC